TGTTAGCTACTATGTAGGTGCTCGGAATTGAACCTGGGTCCTCTGCAAGAACGGTCAGTGCTCTTAACCGCTGAGCCATCTCTCCAGCCCTGTGAATGGTTAACTTTTAAAAAGACATAGAGAATTTTTCTTAATCAGGTATGGTAGAACACACAGATAGAAATGATTGGCATAAAAGAAGATTGCTTTTCACAGATTTCTAGAAGTGGGAGGCAATGCATGGCACAGAGGGCAATGAGAGGAGGTACCAGAGCCAGTTGGGGGACAGAGGACACATGGGAAACATGGGCAAGAGCCTTTATTGCAGTTTCCGTGGTTAGGAGCAGGAGAGGCAGGGTCAGCAGATCTAAGACTGATCAATTTAAATACTTTTAGCAGTCTTCTATTGTAAGCTGCTTCTAACTTTCTGGTATTTGGCTTGGGTGATGAGGGTAGGTGGTTAGGGCCAGGCCAACAAATGAGGCTACTGGGGGTATGGCTCTTATTGAGGAATTTGCATATCAAATATAAGATGAAAGGCAAGTTGTTTGAGACCTTTAGAAATGGACTTGCCCTGTGCTCATTATTACCTTGTTTGGATTTTCTGTACTTTTTTAGGGGAAATGTAGGTTACCCTAATTTATATTCTCACCAGTAGATTATAGAAGATCCTGTATATTCATATGATTTTTTAATACTTCAGATCATATATGAGGCATTAATGTGCTAATAAAATGTTAGCTTAATTCATATTCTTCTTGAACTGCCATAGTAAAATACCATTCCTTGTTACCAAACAGTCCTTATTCCTCACATAGCCAACAGCTGACATATACATGAATCTACTTCTGGGCTCTTTGCCCTACTCCACCACTGAATTTGTCTATCTTTGTGCCAGGATGGCACTCTTAACTTCCTAGTGCTAGGTCCTAGATTCTGGTCAGGCAGATCTATGTGTCAGGTCTTCCTTGACAATTCTTCTGCCTGACTTTTGAGACAGGCTCTCTCACTGAGCCTGGAGCTCACCAATTCTGCTGGACTGATTGGTCATTGAGCCCCAGGACTTCTCTTATGCCTTCCTTATCACAAGCATTACAGATGTCCACTCGGCCCAGCTTTTTTATGTGGGTCCTGGGATCTGAACTCAGGTCCTCATGGTTGCCAAGCAAGCACTTTACCAGCTGAGCCATCTCCCCATCCCTTGATAACAGTATTCTTTTTTTTTTCTCTTGGTCTTTTTGAGGCAGGGTCTCTCTGTAGCCCCAGCTGGCCTGGAACTCACTATGTTGACCAGGCTGGCCTTGAACTCACAGAGATCTGCCAGACTCTGCCTCCAGAGTGCTGGGATTAAAGGCGTGCACCACCACACCCAGCAATAACAGTATTCTTTACATTTTTGTTCTATAGCTTTGTTAACCTTCCTGCCCTTTGTTATAACTTAGGCTGGAGAGATCTGATTAGCTGGGCACCTTGCAGAACACCGAAGTGATCCATTGCACTGATGACCCTGTGCTGATTGATGCAGCAGCAGGTGCCGGAGGTGCTCCTTGGCAGAAGATAGCAGTAGTGGTAGCATTGGGAAGACATGTGTGCTCAAGAGAGCAGGAACTAAACTCCACGAAGATTCCAGCACCTGCCGTTTCAGGATACTGGATAGGGGTTGCTTTATAGCCATTCTCAAAGGGGCCTCAAAAGAGTGGCAATGGAAACGTTCTCTGGAGGCAGAACTCTGAGTGGCCTGTCTGGGTATTCGTCTTGTATGGAAGAAATGATGGGCATTCATAAATGGCTGCAAATGGTCTAGTAGGCTGCCCAGAAACCTGAAAGTAGGAGAACACTGGAGACACAAGAGGTACAGGCATATGAAGGCTATCTGAAGTGAGTATCCCATGTTAAGATTTCTCTATCACGTTAATGCCTCCCGAAAGTATCCACTGCATTCGAGCAAGCAAAATGTTTTCCATTCTTGACAACAGCAACTTTGTAATCAGTCTTCCCACAAGGATAATGACTCATGAGTAGTGGTAAAAATGAGGGCAACATATGGGCCAACAGCCCAGGCTCTCAGTTGTCAAGACCGAGTTCACCATGCCCCTAGGAAGGCCTAGTCTGATTATAGCAGACTCACTGTTGAGCCTCTGAGTTGACCCTATTCCTTGAAGAGACCAACCAGCCACTTGGTTAGCAAGCTAACTACATCAGGCCCCTTTCACCCTACAAGGGCCAGTGGTCTGTTCCTTTAGGATTAGACACCTTCTGGGTGTTTGGGCTTGCCTTTTCTTTATGGACCCTCAGATAATACCACAATCCAGGGGCTTCTGAGTGCCTGATCCACAGGCAAGGAATCCTGTAACTGTATCATCCAAAGGAGGGGCCGGCACTCTTATGAAGACTCTGGGAGTAGACTCACACCATCTGGAAAGCATTGCTGAAGGCAAGCTGAGGCACTAGCCTGCAGGCAGTGCTCACAGGCCTGGACGCTGTCTTCGATTTGTAGTATCTGCACTCAATCAGAGAGCTCTGTATAGCACTGTGTCCCTAATGGGATCTCAGGCTTTAGAGGCAGAAGGGGATAGTAGCTTCACTTCCTTACCTTCAGTGACTGATTGAAGAACGTCATTCTGCGCACTCCTGTAACTCAGAGGGTCTTGTCCCTTAACAGGATGCTCTTTTGCTGACGGACAAAGCAAGTGTTCTGTTAAACTCTAAGCTGGAGCTGACTCTGAGGGCTTGGGATTCCTGGTCTCAGGAGCAGCAAGCCAGGAGGCAAGGCATCGGCAGTCATTTGTTGCGTCAAGAATGAGTCTTCCCTTCCTACGGCACAAACCTAATGTGGAGCCAGTGAAGAGTGGAGTGTATCCAAGAGAAATTAAGTCTTAGTTTTCTATTATTTTGTACTTGGAAACCTCTCTACACAGGTGTGGGATTTCTTGTTTCCTGCTCTGGAATACAGACCGTAGTTTGAGTATAGAGGTGCCAAACACTGTCCACAGGTGCTAAGATTCGTATATGAGAGGTGTGGACTTAGGCTGCAGAGGGTCTGGTTTTCTTGCAAGGATCTTACTCCTTTGAAACAAAGCACAAAGGCATCTGCTCTCTCTCCTTGCCAGCTCCCAGGAACCAGCGTCAGCATTATTCAGCCAGGACCCAGAGTCTTGGGGATATATTTAGAAGCAGTGAGTATTTAATGAGACATGATGAGATCTGGCCTTTCTCTCTCTTTCCATTCCTTTCCTTGTTCCCTCTCTCTTTCCCTTTCTTCCTTCCTTCTTTGAAACAGGGTCTTATGTAGCCCAGGCTGGCCTTGAACTTGCTATGCAGCTAGAAATGATGGTAAATTCTTGATGCCCCTGCCTCCATCTCCCAAGTGCTAGGGTCATAGATGTGTATTGTCACTATGCCTGGCAAGACCTAACATTTAAAAAAATACTTTTATTTATTTTTAAAATTTTATGTGTTTGAGTGTATTGCCTGCATGTATGCACCCCTGTGTCATGCAATGCCTTCAGGTCAGGAGAGGGTGTCAGAGTCCCTTGGAACTGGAGTTAAGGATGGTTGTTAGTCATCATGTGGGTGTTGGGAACCTAACCCAGGTCCTCTGCAAGAGCAGTCAGTGCTCCTAAGCGCTAAGCCATCTCTCCAGTCCCCAAGACTTAGCACTTTTATGATGAGCTCAGAAGAAGACTTTTACAATCAGTTTTCCTCTCAACCCCCCTTTAAGTTATCAGAAAAGTTACCATCCCTCCTTTGTGGAATTAAAAAAAAAAAACAAAAAAAAACAACCAGAAAATTTAATAGCTGTTAGGAATGAATGGAGAGATAAAGGGAAAGTCAGTGCTACAGTTCAAATGTAGTGCTGCACTGAGCTGGAAGACCTGGTTCCCTGGATTTTTCACTTCATTCTCAGTGTCTGGCTAGATGTGTGCATGCATGACGGTCAAGGTGGCATGGCCTGTGAGTGGCCAGAGTTGAAGTCCCTGGCTCTGAAGGCCATGCTCCAGCCGCTGATGCTGTTCTGCAAACATCTGCATGCGAGTGTTCCTGTGTATGTGCTTCTTCCCTCTCAGGTCCCGCCAGGCAGTAAGTAAGCAAGTTTCTCACCAACAATTATACTTTCACTTTTTAAAAAAAATTTTATTTATTATTTTTATTTTATGTGTATGTGTGTATTGCCTGCATGTAGGTAAGTGCACCTGTGTTGTGCAGTGCCCGAGGAGGGCAGCAGAGGCTGTCTGATCCCCTGGGACTGGAGTTACAGACAGTTGTTAGCTGCCATGTGGGTGCTGGGATTTGAACCCAGGTCTTCTGCAAGAACGACCAGTGTTCTTAACCACTGAGCTGTCTCTCCAGCCCCCAAAAGTTCTCTTTTTTTAGATTTCTTTTTATTTTATATGTGTGAATGTTCTCCTGCTTGTATGTATGTGTACCACATGCATGCAGTGCCAACAGAGGCCAGAAGAGGGCATTGGATTCCCCTGGAACTGGAGTTACAGATGCTGGGAACTGAACTTGGGCCCTCTGCAAGAGCAGCAAGTGTTCCTAACCACTGAGCCATCTCTGCAGTCCCTATTCTTTCACTTTTAATATACGTTTTGTATGATGTTTTGGAATGACTTTGTTTTTACTACAACCCAAACTGCAACTGCAAAAGAAGAGTGAACACTTTTCTAGTAAATACTTCTATTTAGATCATCTTTTATTAATATCCATGAATATATTTTATATACTAATAATTATGTAGCATTACAATGTGAGAAGTAAAACTTCAAACTTAATTTTTCATTTGAAAGTAGAACATATTAACTTCAGAAACCTCAAGTAAGGCATTATAAAGCAAGAAGCTGAACTACTAATGTTGACATATTTTATCACTTTATTAGTATCAGTTTTCATGTACACATCTAAGCCAGTGGAAACTTCTATACCTAGAGGCTCTGAAGACCTATTCGCTCATCCTGCGCATCCCTGGGCGTTCATCTTGCTTCGTAATGCTCATCTTTCAGTCTTGAGTCTTTTACTGAGCAGTGCAGGCTTGTCTGGGCACATGCCATTTCTCTTTCTGCTGTGGTTTTCTGTAGACTCCATGGTGCTGTTGCTGGGCAATTCCTCATGTGTTTCCCTAGGCATCTACAAGACAGGACCACAGAACTCCAGTGGATGTCCACCTCTGTGCCCACCAACTTCTTTAGGTCTCATTTAACAGACCCCTTCCCCAAGAAAACACCAGGCATTTGAAAAGTGATATCAACATCAATTCTTAGGCTCCAGGTCAAAATTTTATGCATTTGTAATAACTTTGCTAACTTCAGTGTGAGAGTCCCTGTGGTGAGCTTTTGTTTTGCAAGATCCTTGTCAGTGCAGGGTGAATCCATTTTGCAGCTGTGATTCTGACCTAGATTTGATAAATTATTCTTGCATTTAGATAATAATGGGTTCCTATGACTGGATTGTGTTGTGTGAAGAGACAGAGGGCGTCTTGTTAGAAATCATTTGCTCTCATTCAAACACCTCACTTTTTTTTTCAATCATGAAAAGGACTTTGCTGACTGTGCTGGGCAAACAGGCAGGGTCTAGGCACTGAGTGTTCTCTTACCATCTAAGCTATAAACAAATAACAAATTATGCAACAAGCCTCTCAAGGTTTTGCTTTTCTGTTTCCAGGCCCAGGGTGTGCTTTCTCACACCATGGACAGCTCAGGAAGAGACAGGAAAAGTCCTCTGCTGGAAGCGCATCAAATGCAGAAAGTAGGCCACTCAGTGCAGCTGATTCCCAAGCCCTGGCTGCTGTTGAAACTTCCACTTTAACTCATCTCAGAACCAATTTCTGATGTTTCAAAACTACAGTGCTAATGCGCCTGTGGAAGGTAAAGAGTGGTGTGGGAACCAGAGGGGCTGTTGGGCCACCTTCTGAGAACACAGACAGCTGATGCCTTTGTTATTCTCTCTTCATATCTCAAGGCTTTCTTTGCAAACCAGAAGCGGGAGACCATTTATTTTTTATGGGCATAAGCCTGAAGGACATTTGGGGACACAAATCAGACTCTATAGGTCCCATTTTTTTAATACAAGAGAGTACATTAAATTGGGCGGGGGCAGTGAGGGGAGGTGTGGATAAAGGAGGGCATCTAAATACCACCAAACTATAGTGTGTGAAAATTGCAAAAATTCAATTAAAAAAACTTGTAACAATGGTTCTTTGTCTATTTCCCTCAAATGCTATGCCATTGGCTCTGGAAATCTGGTTATTCACTCAGAATTGCAAGAATTAGCCAACCTAGGGGGCTGGAGCGATGGCTCAGTGGTTAAGAATGCTGACTGTTCTTGCAGAAGACCCGGGTTTGAATCCCAGCACCCACATGGCAGCTAACAACTGTCCTTAACTCCAGTTCCAGGGGATCCGATGGCCTCTTCTCTCCTCCGCGGGGGTTGCATGACACGGGTGTACTTCTTACATGCAGGTATAACACTCATACACATAAAATAAAAATAATAAATAAAATATTTAAAAAAAGAATTAGCCAACCTAGTTTGTGTTAATGGTCACCATACATTAAAAAATAATTTCCAATACTCTCAACTTTCCCCTCAATATAAACTAGCCAGCTCCTACCTTTATTCTGCATGGTGCATCCTCAGAGATGATACTTTTGTTTCTGGCTTTCGTGACTTCTAAAACTAAATCTAAGAAGGAATTAGAGAGAAGATAGAATAACAGAATTAAAAATTATTGTCTAGAAATATCCTTAATGAGGAACAGAGAAGCAATGTAATGTGTTTAATAAATGTTACTATTAGAACTGCTCATTTACATTTTTATTGTAGTATATCATCACTAATTTGCTTGTGGCACTGGGTCTCTCTTACCTGTGCCTGGCTCACTTATTCAAAGGAAATTCTTCTGGGCCATTAGTAATAATGCTCTGTTTTGAGTTGGCTCAGACTTGGTAACAGGTCGCTGCACACTACACCCTTGCACCTGATGCCCTGATATCAGGGCACACAAAGACTTTTGAGGAGGTTTGACAGGTTTGAGTTTTGAGTGTGAAGATAGTCTCAAAGATCAAGGAGAAAGATTCTGTGGTGAGCAATAGGTTGGTGTTCAAGTTTCCAAATTTGAATTATCTATGATGTGCTGGTTTGTGGCTTTGCATAAGTTGCCCCAATAGTTGTAAACTGAGCAGAGAAGGTTATGTATTTACTTTATGTGTATGAGTGTTTTGCCTGCAGGTGTGTGGGTGCACCATGTACATACAGTGCCTGCAAATGCCAATGCCTGCATTGGATCCCCTGGAGTTATGTTATGTGGGTGCTGGGAGCCAAACCTGGATTCTCTGGAAGAGAGTTGATGCTCTTCTCTTAACTACTGAACCATCTTTCCAGCTTCGAGAAGTTGAATATAGATATTTATATATTGTATGGCACATATGAAAAGAATAAAACTGAACTGTATAGAAGTGAACTAGCATCTCCATAGTGCCATGGTTTTAACAGTTTTACAGTGCTCATTTGCTTTCTAATCCAGTTTGTGTTCATAACAGAAAGCTAGATTAACCCAGCGGTGATTAACCCAGCGGTGAACAGAAATGAAATCATGATAGGCCATAATTTTGAATGATAAATAAAAGTCCTCAAAAAAATAGAAATATGTCAAAGTACTTCAATAAATATTTGAAATATTATTGACAATAAAGAGAAAGAATTCAAGGTCAAATGAGTCAACATATGGTTTAAAATATTAATCTCTACCTTATAATTTTATTATTGTGTTTTATTCCATTTTTATTAAAAATGTTTCAGATGACCTTTTCTCTTTCTTTGGTTTTGTTTTGGTTCAGTCTGGTATTTGTTTGAGTCAGGGTCTGCTATGTAGCCCAGGCTGGCCTCTTGCCTCAGTCACCAGAATGCTAGGCTTATAGGTGTATACCACCACAATAGGCTGATTCAGGATCTTAATGGTCCAATGTTGAAATGCTACATACAGTGTTAGTGGTACACAGCACAGAGCAGACTTGGTGATAGCTTTAAAAATCCTACTTATTCTCTACAGTAAAAAGAAATAATTAGAACAAAACAGGGTAAAATGGGCATGATGCTGCACACCTGTAATCCCAGCACTCAGGAAGCGGAGGCAGGAGTGCGAATGCAAGGCCAGCCTGGGCTACATAGCAAGATCTTGTCTCAAAACCAAAAAAAACAACCTTCTCCACAAATCAATCAATTAACCAACCATGCAAACAAAACATCAATGTGCTAGTTTGGTAAAAACATATTTGGAGTGTGTGAATATAAACTAAAAATTTCAATTTAACTAAGAGTCCAAGTAGTTGTTTCTCAGCTTTTTCTAGTTCTGTGTGGAAAGGTATCCACTTATTTCTTCCCTGCTTCAGGTCCACGGAGAACAAGAGACCAGGGAAGGGTGTCGGGGAGTTTGGGGGAGAAGGAAGGGACATCTTTACAATCTATGAACCAACCTGTTAGAATGCTATCAAGCTGGTTCACCATGAACTTGGCATCTTCTTCTGTGAAGCACATGGGTGGTTTTATTTTCAGCACATTCCTGTGTGGGCCATCAGCACTGAGAAGCACTCGTTTCTCTTTCATCCTAATCAGTGCAGGAAATACAAGTGAGCACATAGAAACAACAGATGAATGGCTGTGTGCACACAGTGCACTCCAGTATCCTGCAATCCAGAAGCCTGCGTTTATAAACTGCAGGAGCCTCAAGCTTCCCTGTTTAGAAAGATGAGAAGTAGAACAAGTGTTCAAGTGAGCCAAGATGCCAACGGGCTGCAGACCTACTAGTGGGCCAAGATACTGACAGGATGCGGATGGACAAGTGGGCCAAGATACCAGTGGGATGCGGAGACAAATTTACTTGTAGATGATGTGCTGGGCTTCGGCCGTAGCTGGTGTTCTTTTCTCATGGTCTTTCACCAAGTCAATTCCAATAAAAAGGCCAGCACCCCTGAGGAATAGGAAAAAGAAAAGTCCATGTACACTCTATGAGCCCTGTGGCATCACAAAGTGGCACTCTTGCCACCAAAGGGAGTCAAACTTGAAGCAGAATGTAGTATCCTTCATGTACAGCAGTGCTGATCTGAACTCAAGACACCAATCCAGGGTCGTGGTTGTTTCTAGTTTTTGAAACAGGTTTTGTTATTATATTTTCCCCCCTTAATTTAAGAGAATAATGCTTTAAAAAAGTGTGCTTCTAGCCGGGCGTGGTGGTGCAAGCCTGTAGTCCCAGCACTTGGGAGGCAGAGGCAGGCGGATCTCTGTGAATTCAAGGCCAGCCTGGTCTACATAGTGAGTTCCAGGACAGCCGTGGCTACAGGGAGACCCTGCTTCAAAAAAAAAAGTGTGCTTCCGTTCATGTAAACATGTGTATGTAGGGAATGTGTGCACATATGTGTACATGAAGGCAGGCCTTGGTGTTTATACTTGGGTGCCAGCCACCTATTTATTTATTTATTTATTTATTATTTATTTTTCCATTCACCTTATTTCAAGACAGGGTCTCTCACTGGCCTGGAGCTTGCTGATTAGGCTAGGCTGCTCTCAGCCCTAGCTGTTCGCTTGTCTCTGCCTACTCGGTACAGAATCACAAGTGACTGCCACCACAGCACTTTGATCTGTGGGTTCTGGGGATCAGATTCAGGTCCTTGCACTTACACAGCAAACACTTTTCCCACTGAACTGTCTCCTCAGCTTCCCAAACAACATTTAATGCCATTTAATTTTTCAGGATATTCATGATTGTAAATACTTATGAAATAATACTCAGCTTTAGAGATCTAAATCAATCTACAATAATATCTACAGATCATTTAGAGTTACTTTACCTTCCTTCTTTTTATACCTTGGGTTCTAAAATCATCCTAGGTTTACAGAAAAGAAAATGTACAAAAGGGAGGAAAGGTGCACACAAATGTCTGCAGTGATCGCCGAACTCTGCATCGAGTGCACACCAATGTCTGCGGTGATCGCCGAGCACTGCATCGAGTGCACATAAATGTCCGCAGTGACCGCTGAGCACTACATCGAGTGACTTTTGCTTTCTCTGTTTCTCAGTGGTTCCTAGATTTAGTTTCATATTCTTTATTTCAAATTTATGAGGGAAAACATAAACTATTTTATTACGGAGAAATGAATGAGCAGATGACACTATGTCAGCTCACCTGATATCTCCTATCAAAGAATGCTTAGCCTTCTGCTCATTCAGTAGTTCAGTTAGATAATGGCCCACTCTCACAGCATTTTCTTGAAGGTTTTCATTTTCAATTATATCTAGTACAGCCAAACCAACAGCACAAGACACTGGATTTCCTCCATACTGCAGGCAAAAATTAGAGAAATAACAACTGAATTAATGGTATTGCTTCATTCCTGAGAAATTTGGCACCAATACATATATCTAAAGATCAAAAATATATTTTGATGCCTTCAGAGCACCAGTGCTCTGACTAGATAATTTAAGACAAAAGTTTAATGTAGATGTACAAATATAATTTTTTTTTGTCTTTTTGAGACAGGGTCTTCCTGTGGCCTCAGCTGGCCTGGAGCTTGCTAGGTAGACCAGGCTGGCCTTGAACTCACAGAGATCTGCCTGCCATTGCCTCTTGAGTGATAGGATTTAAGGTGTGTGCTACCACCCCTGGCTAATTTTAACAGATTTTTTTTTCTTGTGATAAGAACTTTTTAGATTTAGAACGTGGAATGAGGCTACTCATCGGGATTTAGTGGAAATTCATCCCAGTTGTGTTCTCCAGGCTGCATAACTGGTATGAGAGACTATTGGGGATTTACTGGTTCATCCAAACAACCAAAGACATTATATTGTGAATTAAATAGTCCAGAGTATAGTTCTGCAAGAATTGCTGTGCTCAAAGAACCGATTAAGAACAGCTAAGCAATGATTTTCTCTGAAAAAGTCATATCCTGAGCTTTGAATCCTATGTCAGCTGTAGAAAGTACTGCTATGTGTACTGAAGAAGCAACAGTAATTTTTCTAAGCCTAAAGCTTATTACTTTTGGGAACAAAGCCAAAGAAATAAAACAAGACAAAAATTTAGTATTGCTTATGAGAGTTAAATAACATGTATGGTACTGAAGCATCTAAATACTTGAAAAGTGTTTGAGGAATTTCAATATGATACAAAATGAAGAAGATCACATTATCCATTATTGAAAATATAACTTCCAAAGTTGAGGAGGATAGCCATCTAATATTATGAAGTCTACTGAGATTCCTATAGGACATCTCATTGTAAGTCTCATATAAGAAGAAAAATACACTAGGAGCTTTATACCAAATAGAATAAAATATGGTTTGATCAAAATCTGGGTAGAGCATTGGAGTGGTTTACTGGCAGCATGAAGCCTTTTTCTTTACTATATTGGCAAAAATTCCAAGAATATGCATTAATTTTCCCTCCTAGAATTATAGCTGTGAACCAAAATTTACTGTATAGACAAACCGAAGAGGTGCTGTAAAGACTGTAAGAGCCAGAGGGGGTGGATGACCACAAAGAAATAAGAGTTCCCCCAACAGCTGGGAAGTTACTCATGTGAACTCACAGTAATGGTGACACAAGTACCATGTACGCTCAAGCCTGATAAAATCCCAGTCAAAGACAAGGGAAGGTGGGTAGGAAACCCCAATCCTACCCAAGGAACTGTTGTAAACTGACGGGAGAAGAGTCAGTCTCTTTTAAGGATTTTCGTCTTGGTAGATTAATCAGGTTCCAGTGGGTGGATCCACACCAAAGGACATGGGGATGAGGGACAACGGGGAATGCAGATAAAGGAGGGGATCTAAATGTAATCAAATATATATTGTATGAAATTTTCAAAAATTCAATAAAAAAACAGAAAACTATCAATAAAACTTATTTTTAAAATATTAAAACAATTTACTGTATTGAAATACTCCATCCCAGAGCTGTTGAAGGCTTCTGCAATTTCTTTGGTTGTTACCACACATGCAATTGGATGGCCATTGCCCATCGGTTTTCCCATGGTGACAATGTCTGGAATGAAATCTTCTCCATGCATCTGGAAGCTCCAGAAATATTTCCCGACTCGGCCAAAGCCTACCTGAACTTCATCAGCTATAAACACTCCCCCTGCTCTGCGAACGTATCTGAAAAGCAAAGATAGATATGTTTTGATGCCCTCAGATTACCAAGTATTCCCAGATCTACCCAAGAAGGTGCAGTTTATTGAAGAAAGAAGTGTTAACCTGAAGCCTTAATTTGTGTTAATAACATTCTACTACTCAAAACCCCATAGAGACTTTACAATGTGATCATGTGATTTCTAGAAGAAATTTGCCCTATTCTGTTTGGATGTATGTTTCTTAAAGTAAGCTATATTGAAAATACAACTTCAAGTGGAAAGAGAAAGAACTGGACCAGTGGCTCTTAGGAGCGTTAATTGTCACGTGTTTACTATTTGGTGAGGTGTAAGTACCCGCTAATGAGACAGGATGCTAGGCAGGAGCTGGAGGTTACTCTGCCAGACCATACAACCATAGGAAGCCCTTTACTTCTGGATCTTGGGAAAGCTCAGGGGGACATCCTAGAGCCCTGAGGTGGCAGGCGCTCAGGAGCAGCTTTTACCAGCTAGTCTGGAAGTACTTCAGCAATTGGAATGACCTGACAGACTTGTCACAGTGCCCTCAGCTTGACCAAGTTTGCCCAAGCCAAGTACATACTCAGCCACTTTCTGGAAGTAGCCTGCTGGAGGAATTATTTGTCCACCACAACTCTGCATGGATTCAGCAATAAAGGCAGCAATCTATACAAGAGAAGATGGGGTCAAAGTCCATTAGGTTCCTCTCTTACGTCCTAAAAAGAGAATTTCTTATAGAGAAGGTTATTTTTTTTAAAGATTTATTTATTTATTTGTTTATTTATTTGGTCTTTTTGAGACAGGGTCTCCCTGTAGCCATAGCTGGCCTGGAACTCACTATGTAGACCAGGCTGCCCTTGATCTCACAGAGATCTGCCTGCCTCTGCCTCCCGAGTGCTGAGATTAAAGGCATGTGCTACCTTGCCTGGCAAATTTATTTTTATTTTTAATTATTCACACGTGTGTGTCTGTGTGTGGTATGTGCATGTGCATGCAGGTTCCTGAGGAGGGCAGAGGCATTGGATCCTTTGGAGCTGGAGTTACAGGTGGTTGTGATCCACCAGACATGGGTGCTATGAACTGAAAATTCCTCTGCAAGAGCAGTAAGTGCTCTTAACCACCGAACCATCTCTCCAGCCGCCAGAGCAGATTATTTTCAAAGTGATTAGGAATAGGTCCATTGTAAGTGCTAAATAAACCTTTTGATGAAAAATAAAATATGTCTGTGCCAGAAGAGAAGTTGATCTAAATAAAGTTCTAGGATACCAATAAAGTTACCATGAGAAATGGAAGCCAGGAGAGGATGACTTTCTTTCTAAGTAAAGTGCAATGATTTGGTTAGGATGAACTAAGCTGGAGTGATGTTTTGATGTCTGTAATATGAATCTCTAAAAATTATCTAGGTTGGTAAAATGGGACTACTTCAGGCTGAATTAGAACCGGGGAAGTTGGAGGGGAGCCTATGCCTATGCAGGATAGTTACTTTTCTATATTTCTAGGTCTTCCCTTGAGCCAGGCTTACCTCAAGTTAGGCGTCTCAGTAAAGACCAAGGAGGAAGCCTGTCAGAGGCCAAGGGAGAACAAAATGGCTAACACTGAAAGGGGAGAAGTTTCAAGAGACTACAAGAAAAGAACCAGAGTTTGAGTTCAGACTCCTTACCTGTTGCCTTAACCTGGCTCAGATCCTGCCCTTAAAGTATCTTAGCTATAAAACATGGCTGTTGGACTCTGGAGACTTATGCCCTAACCTTCCATGACTTTGGAAGCACAACTAACATTTAGAAACACACACCCTATATTTGCTCATAACTTTCAGCATTGATAACACTGTGATATCAACCCCCAAACTACTGAATGCTAACATTGTAAAAAAGGATTCATTCTGGCCCTCTTTTAGCAGCAAAGAGTCCATATGATCTTGTTAATGTAAAAATTTTCTGAAACCATATTTAGCATCTGCGTAAAGAGGTAACGACAGGAGGCGGCTACGAAGCTGCATCATAGATGGAGCTGTAGACCTGTCCCACAGTGACTCCGAACACGGTAGGGGAAAGACTGAAAACATGACCTCCCTCAAAACACTGTTCATTAATTCTTTTGATGAGAATGTCACATGAGTACTGTATTTCCGTCATCTCCACTTCTCCCTCTCCCCCACCCAATTCTTCCCACGTACCCCCATCCCCCACTCCCTCTCAATTTTGCGACCTCAGGCAATCAATGGCTGCTGAGGGAGGGAGAATTAGTTTCCTCCAGGAATAAGCCCCCTGATAGGTTTTCAAATCCCAAGTGCTCAGCCCTAAATTCATAAAACTCCCTTTTCCTGCTCTCAAGAACTCTGGTTCTGTCTGGGAAGTTCAGGCCCTGGCCGGAAGGCCATTTTCCTGCCTTAGTGAGAAGCGGAGCCTGGGCTTCTGTGGCTGCAGGAGGTCCACTGCTCAGGGAAGCACTGTGGTTCCCTTGAGGCTGAACGCTTGTACTGGTTCTGAGACTGGGGCCGCTGGGCCTCTTCTCTTCCCCTGAGCTCCTCTCTCCCTTGGCAGAATCTGACCCTGAGCGATTGTCTTGCCTAATTCTGGACCAGGCCCTTCACAGTACCCAAGAGGTCAGAATTAAGCCACCCGTTCTGGAAAGTCAACAGTTCGAGGCATGACTATGATAACGCGGTTTTTGAAATATGAGTCAAGTGAAAATATAACCAGCAAAAGACAGAAAGGAAATTTAGATTTAATCCTTCTTCTTCTTGGTAGAAGACTGCAACAATTTTAACTTTTTAATAAAAGACGTTAAAAGTGTTTCCCCAAATGCCAACCTTCCTTCCACTGTCATGAGCTTCTTCTATAATTTTCTTCACTTCGTCTGCGTAAGCTTTAGCTGGGTCTTCATGGTTTTCTCTGTATTTTCCTCTGTAAGTATCTGGAGTTGGTGCCTAAAAACATCAGATGAGTCAGTCTCATTATTTGCCTCTTGACAAACTTAAAAATCAAAAGAGCACTGATTTCCCCAGAAGGGTGTGTTTCAAGGTTGTCCTGCTGACTCAAGAGCCGATAGGTACTTTTCCTCTCTTTCCTTTGTATTTCTGAATGCTGTGACAAACTGACATCTTTGAATTGTGAAAAATTATGAATCCAGCACCCTTATAAGTCAGGACTTTATCCCTACTTACATAAAAAGCAAACTCAGTTCAACAAATGCAATTGCATTATATAAAAATGCCAGTGAGTGGAGACTATATTAATGACTGTAAAATTAACATTCTCAATGATATCACAAATACAGTCATTCAGGAAACCACAGCACCTTAGCACTTACTCCTAAGAGGCAGGGATGACTTGTTAGAGAGTCTACTGATCCTTAGTTAACGTTAAGCGTATGAAATGAATTTCCCTGCTTTGGTAGCCTGGCTGGCTTCTTTATTTGATGAAATACATGACAAGTTACATTATTATTATAACAGTCATACAATTTAGCTCTGAATCTTGGGTTAGTTCTAGCAGTAGGAAGCATAATTGATGATCAAGCAACACAAAAATGAAATAGTATCTGTTAATGACGACCTACCAATTCTGCCTCTATGCTAAGTCTCCTACTGGGTGCTCACTTCAAGCCATACTCCACCAGTACAGCCCTGTGAGCTCAGCAAGCTGCATCACTGCTGTAAATCTGTTTCTTTCTCTTGGTTTCATTTTGCTGAAAGTATTGGGCTGGATCACCAATCAGCATTATTCTAGAATAACATTCTGATTACAGGAGTCTAGGATATTTACCACATGTACAAATTCTTTCTTGACATCTTTGCCCTTCCGAAATTTATATGGACTGATCTCAATTAAAGATGACAGGTGGCCATGGTAAGCACTGAAATGAGAAAGAACAGTGACCTAAAGGGCTCCAAGGATGTTTGTTTTCCTACCATTTGAGAACTGCTGCTAGACATCACCCATTACCATACATCCAGGGGTGCTCAATGTTGGTGCCAGATTTGCCTGTGTAAATGGCAAGACTGGACACTGACTTTGTCCATTTCCCCTTATACATGCAATAAGTACACAGTATACACGCAATAAGTATGCATGCAATAAGTACATGTGTTCTCATAGGCAATTGCTTTTTATTATAGTAGGGGAAGTAAACATTATTTATGTGGATTATATTACCAAGTTAGAGTCTCTAAATGTGAAAAAATATTTTCTTTATCTTCATGCAGAACTTCATAGGCAATGTATTTGACAGCTATATTATGATTTTTATTCATTCCATTTATTTGTGTGCGTGTGTGTGTGTGTGCATCTGTCTGTGTGTCTGTGTGTGTTATATATACATGTGTGGATGTCAGAGGACATCTTACAGGAGTTGGTTCTCTCTTTCTATCATGTGGGTTCTGGGGATCAAACTCAGGTTTTCAGGGTTAGACAGCAAGTGCCTTTGCTTTCTGAGCCATCCTGCCAGTCCCTAGATTTTTAAAAAACAGGCCTTATATAGTGATCAAGTCTGGCTTTGAATTCCTGGCCTCAAGTGATCCTTACACCTTAGCTGGGATTACAGGCATATACCACCACAGCTGGTTAGTAAATCTGGAAAACATTTTATGTCAAAGCACTGTTTGGATTCGACTGAGATATGATTGAGCGACTATAAAATTCTTTTCTCTCGGGGCTGGAGAGATGACTCAGTGGTTAAGAGCACTGACTGCTCTTGCAGAGGACCTGGGTTCGATTCTTAGCCCCCACAGGGTGGCTAACAACCATCCATAACTCCAGTTCCAGAGGATCTGACACCCTCTTCTGTCCTCGGAGGGCATTTCACTACATGAATGTACCTACCTACATGCAAGCAATACACTCATACACACTAAATAAAAATAAAAGAGTAAAAATTCTTTTCTCTCATCTAACATACAAGTGGCTATGATGTTCCCCTTTCTGTTTCTTACCCAGAAAGGTAATTGGCAGATGTAGAAGAAATTCTGAAGGGCCCATGAAAAGAAAAAGAAAGAACTAGCACTGTCACAGACACTACAGTCTGAGTATGAAAAGAATATGGAACTAAGCTAAGAGTTTAGAGGTAACTGGACTGGTGAGCTTGGACACATCTACACATGAACAGTGATGAAGTGGGCTCCAGGTAGACTCAATGTAAGGAATAATCACAGGAAGGAAGGAAACACAGAACATCTTTGTGGTCTTGGGGAGAGAGGTTTTTAATGAATGTAGGATAACTCAGTCCTGTAGATGGCTCTGAGGGGAAAGGTGCTTGCTGCCAAGTCTGACAACCTAAGTTTGACCCCAGGAACCCCATGGTGGAAGGAAAGAACCAACTTCCTACAAGTTGTGCTGTGTTGCTTGTGTGTACACACACAACCAATCGATTAGTCAATGAAAAAAGAAATGTAAAAAAGTTTTAAGAATATAGAAAATTCAAATAACAAGGTGAACATTTTATCTTTTCATTTAATCAAAATTAAAAGTCTTTTTTAAGCCTTTATATTTTAAATGAACATACATGGTATTATTGTGACACTTCAAACATATTTGGTCTTTATTGGCTGTCCCCTGCTTCTTTTGTCCCCCTCGCCCGGGCCGCTTCCCCTTGCTTTTCCATACAGAGCCCCTAACCTCCTTTCCATTTCATGCCTCGTGTGCTAGCCTTTTGCTTTTTGAATCTATTTAATCTGCTGGTGTGATGGTGCATGACCTTAATCCCAGCACTTGGGAAACTCTGTGAGCTTGAGGCTAGCCTGGTCTACATAGTGAGTTCCAGGCCAGTCAGGGATAACAGCGAGACCTTATCTCAAATAAAATCTATTTGATTTAGTTATCGTGTCACAATTTCACACATGTGATGTACTTTAATTTTGTTCCCCCATTGTCCTCTCTCACCCTCCTCCCCTGGCCACCAAGTCACTTCTTCCCCCAAGTCCCACTTCTACACTCATGTTGTGTGTGTGTGTGTGTGTGTGTGTGTGTGTGTGTGTGTGTGTGTCCCACTGCATTGAATTAGTGTTGCTTGCATAAGCATGAGTGGGAAGCTATTTATTTGAGTAAGGGCTGATGATTGATTGAAAAGGTATTTAAAATGTCTGAAACAACAAGATATTAAGGCCTAATGCTTGGATTTCACCTCTAGAGACCCTCTTTGATTGGTTTGGGGTAGGGTGTGAGCACTATCATTATACAAATGTCTCTGCAGATGATTCCAAATTGAGGTCCTCTGATCCACATTATACAGGCAACTACAAATCAGTGAGGGTGGGAATCCACATAAAAATGGGTAAAAAATATGAAAAGATAATCTTAAATCATAAAGTTCATATGCAATTCTCAAACTCATAATGTAGATCAAATGCAAGTTAAAGCAACATAAAGATATATTCTCCCTTAGCATCTTAGAAACATATGACATTTAGAGACAAGTAGAGGAACAATTAGAAAAAAGTAGAAAGCTGGTTAATATTAAGTGTGGGTGAGGTTATGGAAAATGTGACCATTCCTGTGCTTGGTGTTGCAATCACTTTGGAGACAAATGTGGCAGATTCAGTCCAATTAGCAGGATTTTAATATGCCTATTTCTTAGCAATCTTGTTTCTGGAATTCATCTCTAACGTATTCACAGAATGCTCTGTGAAGACATGCGTACGGAACAAGGCTTGTGGTGGCTGAGAATAGACGCAGTCAGTACCCATCGCTGGGGAATGCTGCACATTAGTGAGAATTTCGTGATGTTCCATATGGCAGCCATTCCCCACATCAGCGATGGGTGCTTGAAATGCATCCAGTCTGATGTGAGATGTGCTGTAGTGTAAAACAGATACAGGGCTGTTGACAGTCATTAGAAGCACAGAAAATATATCCACAAAGAATTCTTGAAACTGTGTTGAGGCAGAAAGATGAAAACAGAAAGAGACCTAGAGTCATTTTAATAAGACAGATGCACAGAAGATAATGCACAGATTACATGATATTTAAAAGTGAAAGAACATGAAAGGAGAGGGGGACTAGTCAGGAAGAGGAAGAACTGATATATATACACACATGATGTACATGTATGAAAATGTCATAATGAAACCCATTATTCTGTATAATTAATGTATGCTAATAAAGTTTAAAGTAACATAAATACATACATTATACACATTATTGTCTGTAGGGATGGAAGATGAGAATAAATGAGAAAAACAGCCCCAGATATGTCCATCTTCTTACATTCAGAACCTAAGAATATGGTGACTTTTCAGGTTCGAGCAGATTGGGGACCACGAGAGCAGAAGCTCTCCTGGATTGTCTGTGTGGCTCCAATGGAGTGACATCAACAGGCAGGGGAGTGAGAGGCAGAGAGGAAGGTGTGAGGGTAGAAGCAGAGGCTGGGCAAGATCATGGCTGACTTTGAAGATGAAGGACGGAACTACAAGCTATGACATGCAGACAGAGGGACCTCCTCAGGGCCTCTGGGAGGAGCACAGGCCTATCGACAACCTTGATTGACCTCAGCAAGAGTTATTTCAGATTTCTGACATGCAGAAATGTAAGCTAATAAGCTTGTATTATTTAAACCCATAAATTTGTGGTAACTTCAATCCCAGGGGATCCGACAGCCTCTTCTGTCCTCCACGGGCACTGCATGACATGGGTGCACTTGCCTACATGCAGGCAATACATGCATACACATAACATAAAAAAAAATTTTTGTGGTAAAAATGAAGCAGCGATAGAAAAGAGGAGTTTACCTGAGGCCAGGCTCACCTTTCAAGTCTTTGGTTTATGGGAATACAGGGCAGACAAAATAATTCAAAGGAAAAAAAAATCTTAGTAAAGCTAGATACCACATTTCTTGTTTAAAATGATCAAATTTATGTTTGGGAGAAAAGATTAAACAAGATTAGATATAACCATTAATTACCACGAACTGATAATTTTGAAAAAGTGCTAAATTGTACATGGCTATTACCTTTTAAATTTTCTGTAGATTGCTATCTTTAGAATTAATTAGAGTGGATAATCACAATATTGAAGCAAATGCTTGAATTTTAAAGGAATCAATGATATTTTATTTTTCTTTTCAGCAGAATCTCCCTAGTCCCAGTCCAGCTGGAAGTCACTAGGTGGACCAGGCTGGCCTTGATCCCACAGAGATTGCCTGCCTCTGCCTCCCAAGGACTGGGAGTAAAGGCACTCACCACCATACTGAGCTATTTTTTATTTTGGAAAAGATTGCCTTACATAGATGTAATAGTAGGCACAATGCATAATTAATGCATAAAACATTCACCCAGATTCATTGCAGGCGCATGAGGTTACAGCTGCCAAGGCATCCAGGAACGTCTCCCCCATTAGCCTCCAGGTTTAAGCTCGACGCCTTAATACATAATTTCGTGTACCTATCTGCCCTCCTCCAAACCCGTCTATGCATTAGTATAGATACATCCTCTATAGATTAGTACAGTTTTGTCTCTGAAGGAGCTTCTTGCTTAGAAATCTCATCTCTAAGACTTACTGGTCAAGAGTGATGACATCCTGGTGGCCTCGGAACTGTCGAGCGAGGCGTAAAGCTAAGTCGTTGGCTTCAGACCTATTGAGATAACACAGAGAGGGGACAATGTGGCGATCTCTTTTTAAATCTCAAAATGTTAGTTGCAAAAGTTGTACAATGACTTTTATTCAGAAGCGCATAAGGCAGAATGAGGGCCTCTTTCTTCCCTTCCATCTCTATCATCCTGTGCTCTGATTTCATCCTCAGTACATGTGTCCCAGGCTTTTTCAGTAAGGAATGAGACACACAGAAGAAACCTGAAAAAATCACCCACTTCAGCCACGTTCAGCCACGTGAGTGGGTAACCAGCTTTAAGGATATTAAGAAGCTTGTAGCAAGCACTAGCTCAAGAAGAGGAATGGAAGGCTCTCTAGCCTGGCTGCCAAATTATGTTGCATTGGCTCAATATTTGATTAGTTAGTTTCTTTACTTGTAGGATGAAGATCGTATCTTTTCTATCTGATTCAGAGGGCCTAAATATACTACCCAAACAGAGGAAGGAAATAATCACTTCTGGGATGTTTGCTATCTGCTGACAATTGGCTTCTGTTTATTCTCATAATAACTGCAGGGCAATTTATCCTTTCTGCAGATGAGAAAACAGCCTTAGACAGGGTAAGCCACCAGAACAAGATTTACAGTGACTAGGAGGCATAACCAGGAGTTAGATGGAAGCCTGTATGACTTCAAGACTGTTTTTATTTATTTATTTATTTGTTTATTTATTTGTTTATTTGTTTATTTATTTTTGCACTAGCTAGGCTCTGCTACATAGTCTCTAAGGACAGTAGTTGTTTGAACTCCCCTTCAACAATTTAGAATTCTCTAGAAATAAAAGTTAAATATTATATTTCATTTATAAAAGGCAAGAATGCTTTATAATAACACAGAAGATTTTTTTTTTTGGTCTTTTTGAGACAGGGTCTCCCTGCAGCCACAGTTGGTCTGGATTCTCTGTGTAGACCAGGCTGGCCTCAAATTCTCAAAAAGATTCGCTTTCCTCTGTCTCCCAAGTGCTAGGATTAAAAGGGGGTGTGGGCACCACCATGCCCAGCTTCTCAATTCTTTACAAAGCCAAAATAAGGATACTCTGCTTATAAATTTGACTTTAAAATACTCATGCAGCCAGGCATGGTGGCACACACCTTTGATCCCAGCACTTGGGAGGCAGAGGCAGGCAGTTCTCAGAGAATTTGAGGTCTACTGGCCTGGCAAGTTCCAGACCAGCTGGAGCTACAGGGAGACCCTGTCTCAAAAAAACAAAAAAACACCCCCCCCCAAAAAAAACCTCGTGGAAAAGCAAATCACAGAAAAGTGTGTAAGCAGGCTTATAGAGTTTCTAAACATTAATTTTAATACAGCACTCCAGCACCCACATGGCAGCTAACAACTGTCTGTAACTCCAGTTCCAGGGGATCTGGCAGCCTCTTCTGTCCTCCTCAGGCATTGCACGACATGGGTGCACTTACCTACATGTAGACATAACACTCATACACATAAAAATAATAATAATAAATAAAATATTAAAAAAGCAATAATTATAAAAAAAACCCAGGAGTTTCTGCTGTGTGTACGGTTTTGCACAACTTAACATTGCATTTCAAGTCACACGTGCCATTTGGCATGCATTTACAAAAACACGCTTTTGATATCTGAATAGTCACCCACAGAATGGATATATGAACATTTGAATTTACAGAATTTAAAAGTTAGAATGTTGGTGTGTGATCATAAGGAAACAAGAGTCTTCCACACCTCTGGGACCTTGCTCATATGAACTTACAGCAATGGTGTCAGCATGCACAAGACCCATGCCAACTCAGACAAAAACACAGCACAGAACTGGGGAAATGGGCAGCAGGCCCCACCTTAGCTGAAGAACTATTGAGAGCTGATTACTGCTGGGTGAGGGATAGTTGACCTTTAAGGGAGAGACTCTAGATAGGCTGACTAGACTCTGGAGGGTGGATGAACTCACCTTGAGGGACATCTGGTACACAAACTCCACCTTAACATAGATGACAGAATGCATGAGAGGACTATGGGGGGTATGGATGTGGGAGGGAATATAAAGATTAAAATATTTTGTGTGAAATGCAAAAAAATCAAATAAAAAATACACATTAAAAAAAGTCAGAATGTATCTTCACTTGAATCTCCTTTCCTTATGTTTGTTTTGGGGAAATATGTTAAATTTTGGTAAGAAAACAAATTGGTCAAAAATCGTGGTGGTGCACACCTTTAATCCCAGCACTCGGGAGGCAGAGGCAGGCAGGTCTCTGTGAGTTCAAGGCCAGCCTGGTCTACATAGTGAGTTCCGGGACAGCTGGGGCTACAGGGAGACCCTGTCTCAAAAAGACCAAATAAAAAAATCTTTTTTTTAAATTAAAAAAAAATAATTTTTAATTTTATGTGTATGCATGTATTGCCTGTGTGTAGGTAAGTGCACCTGTGTTGTGCAATGCCCACAGAGGTCAGAAGAGGCTGTCAGATCCTCTGGGACTAGAGTTACAGACAGTTGTTAGCTGCCACGTGGGTGCTGGCATTCCAACCCGGGTCTTCTGCAAGAACAACCAGTGTTCTTAACCACTGAGCCATCTCTCCAGCCCCATCAGTCAAAAATCTTATGAAAGAGTCAGGCATGGTGGCATACACCTTTAGTCCCAGCACTGGGGAGGCAGACACAAGCAGAGTTCTGTGAGTTCAAGGCTAACCTGGTCTACATAGTGAGTTCCAGGCCAGCTGGGGCTACAGGGAGACCCTGTCTCAAAAAGAACACCCCTCCCCAGAAAAAAATCTTATGAAAGTTACAGCTTGCTTAGTAGGGTCATTTCTTAGTTGAAATCCATCATTTAGGCATGGAAAGGACTATGTGAGCCTATTGCTTTTGTTAGAGGCTTTACTGTCTGACAAGGTGACATCATTGGATTCATTAAGCTCAGAGTCTTGAAATAAAGTAAAGGAACCAGAACAATGAGCTCTTAATGAGACATTTCCAGACATTTATGCCCCATCAGGAATCAAGGGAAAAGCATGTGTAAGAGCGCAGAGATAAGGGGATGTAAGGAGACCGGAAATCGGAACACATACCCAGAATTAGTGAAGTAGCAAACGGAGAGCTTCCCCGGCAGAGTGGCTGAAAGGCGCTTGGCATACTCAACGATGTTGTCGTGGAGGAAGCGAGAATTTGTATTTAGCAGTTCCATCTGCTTCAGGGCAGCTTGGACCACTTCTGGGTGACAGTGTCCCACTAAAATTTAGGAGACACAAGGCCAAGGAATGAATTACAATTCCAAGACCTTGGGAGGACGGGAATTCTTAGGCAGGAGAGAAGGGTTGAGCTCCCTTCTCTGACATTCTGCGGCAGTCACCGAAATCCCTAGGGCTTCACTCCCTCCAGGCAGGATGCTTACCATGCGCCACGTTGTTGATGCAGTCCAGGTACCGTTCGCCTTCCTCGTCAAACATGTATTGCCTCTGGGCTCGCATTATTTTGATGGGATCGGCAGCAAAGAAAACTTTGCATGAGGGCCTAGAAACAGTCAAAGGAAATGCTTTGGTCTGGAAGGACGAGCTAGTGTTTTTCCTTCTCCACAGAGGTCATCATCAATGGAAAATTACAATTACATAAGGACAAGGGAAAGCACCCTGAGTGACAGCATTATTTTTTCATTTCACATTAGCTTAGAACCCTATACACACAAGCCGGGTGTGATGGCACATGCCTTTAATCCCAGCACTTGGGAGGCAAAGGCAGGTGGATCTCTGTGAGCTCAAGGCCAGCCTGGTCTACATAGTGAGTTCCAGGACAGCTGGGGCTACAGGGAGACCCTGTCTCAAAAAGACCAAAAAAAAAAAAAAAAAAAAGCAAACCCTTTACCTTAATCCATCCTTCATATCACAGCTTGATAGCCCTGTTTAGAGGCACATGGATCAGCTTGCTGATAACTAATTTTCCTTTGGCAAATTTTATTCTACCAGAAAAAATTTAACCAAAGTTTTGTTTCTAAAAACTACTACGTATTTTAATAAATATTATCTCAGATTGCTGTGGGATCAAGGCCAGCTTGGTCTACATAATGAGTTCCAGGCTAACCAGGGCTACAGCGAGACCCTGTCTCAAAAAACCCAAACCCAAAATTAAATTATTCTGGTATATTCTTATAAGCAGAATAAGAAGGCATCAGTATTCTTGGTTATTTCCATGAATGTGTATGGCATAAACCTTAGCAACATAGAAATATCACAGGTTCCTAAAGGGCATTTAAGGCCTAAAACTGACACTATGCTTTCATTTTGGTGATTTTGCACAGATAAAAAAACTGCATATATTAGAGGTCTTTTGTGGAGATTTTGAAGTACTTATTTATTAAGGTGATATACAACTATTTAGAAAATATTTTTTATTATGAATAGTAATTAACCTCAACATTTAAAGTGCCTTAAGGTCATGGTGTATGTTGATGTAGGTTTTCTCTGCAGCGCTAGGGATTGGATCCTCAGATTGTGTATGTTAGGCAGACAGTCCACCAGAGAGCTTCACCCCATCTCCTCATTGATATAGTTTTTAAGCATAAGCTAAAAATTGAAAAAAAACAAAAACAAAAACTTTTTTTTTGGACCAGGCTGGCCTCAATCTCACAGATAGCCATCTCCTGAGGGCTGGAATTAAAGGCATGCATCACCACACCCAACTTAAACAAATAAACAAACACATAAAATTGTAAAGAGAATGCCTTGTTGGTTAATCACAAGAGTTAGTTTGTACCTGCAAGAGTCTCAGAAAACCTTGCTATGAACGTGAACTGCAAGCTGGAGACTGTTCCTTGCCTTTTAAACATAGCTCTGCCTTGGCCACCAGACTTGTAAAATTCTCCTTTATCTAGTTAATCTATATTTACATTCCTCCTTTCACAAAATTTCTTTTTGGAATCTAATTATGTGGAATAAATAATTAGAAAAAGTGGCAGTGAATTGGGGAGGAGTTCAGCCATTATGACTGCACTGTGGAGTGAGAGAGGTCTTACTAGTCTCCTAAACCATCTAGGACACTTCGGATGGAAGTTGGAGTTGTCTATGCGAACTTGTCCAGCATTTCTGCGGGAGCACACCGGTTGGCTCCTGTGTTCCCTGATCTCCGCACTGGTTGGTTGCACCTGCTTCTGCATTTTGTAGACAGTGGCCTCTACAGTGTTAGGGATCATTAACAGCCACAACCATCTCGTCTTTCCATCTTTTACAAATCCAGACACAAAACATTAACGAACTAATTCTCATTTGCGCCTACAGCACTACTTATGTGATTGCGCGGAGGTGACACAGGTAGCATGACACCCCGCTGGGACCAGAGTTCAGGCCAGTCTTGTATACTTGGACTTACATATCAAGCATTTACAACGCGGGCAAAACAAAAAGCAAGGGGGAGCACAGCTTTTAAAAATCGGCACGAGGGCACGGCGTGGGAGGCCAAGGTGAGGAAAAGGGCATCTGCAAGCCGAAGTCCCCGCTTTTCTGATAGGCGATTCAGCCTTTTCTACAGGTACTTCAATGCTTTGTCGCCTCTCCAAGCATATAGGAAAAAGTTCACTTTAACCAAGAGTTGTCAGAATTTGTTTTCTCAGCCACTATCATTTCAGGGTTCTCAGGCGTCCAGCGTGTTGCTGGCGTAGCGGTGGCGGTGCGTTCCCCATCTCCCTCCCTTTGCTGTCGCGGACCGTTCGCTGCCCTCGGTCCAGCATCCGCTACCCCCCGTCCCAGAGCTGCAGAGCGCCCCCCCTCCCCAGCTTCAGGTGCGCGCCCGGAGTCCTCCCCCGCCCCGCCGGTTTGCGCTGTGCGCCGCTGCGGTTCCAGAGCCCCTACCCGATGTGCTTCCCCCTCAGAGCCAGGGTGTCCTGCTTGCTGTACAGCTCACACATGGTGGTCGCCCCTTGCCGGTGCGCCTCCCTCGGGAGCCTGGGACTGCCTCCGAAGCCTAGCTCTTCCTCCCCTACTCCTTCCCGAGGTGCCTGGCCCTGGGCGCCGGAGGTCACCGGTGGCAGCAGCCAGCGAAGGTCGGCCCTCTTTTAAGTGTTGCCTGCAGCAGCCCTCCGCCAGGTCCCTCCCTCCCGCTCCCCTCCTCCCCGGGTGCAAGTCAGGGCCAGCCGCCCCCGCCCCCAGTCGGACTGGCTCTGGCTCTTCCTTGCCGAAGTCCACGCCGCTCTCCATCTTTGCGATTCCTTTTATCTTTTTACATTTTTAAACTTATTTTTATTTTTTTTACATTTTATCTTTTATTTCCTTAATTTCGCTTGGTCTCTACCTTGCTTCCTCCCGTCTGTGAATTCTCTCCTTCCCACTTTCTCGTTTCTTTAGTGTGTTTAATTTCATATAACATATCAAATCTACCGTTTACGGCACACAAGTAACCATATGCCCCCACGATAAGTAACTGGGACTCCGCCGTGTCTCAGTTGATACATAAGATGTTACAGAAATCTCCTTTTAATAACTAAGTGTCTAATTTCTAACACATTCCAGTGGCTTTTCTGCTTTAATGTTCAAAACAACCTGAGTGGGGTGCAAGGAAAAGCCAGGTTATTCTTTACTCCAAGATTTCCTGTCTCCCTGGCAAAGGACTTGGAACTCATTCCTGTTTTTATTTTTATTTTTTTTAACCTCCTTGTAAGATGACTTTTTCACACTGAATTTGAAGTTAAATACATAGATAGCTAGAAACCTAATTAACTACAACTGTTGAATTAGAAATCATTTTAAGAACCAGAAGCCATCTTGTTTAACCACCATTCTGTTGATAAGAAGGGAGCCGTAGGAAAGATACAGGTTCTGACTTAACACTACTTGGCCTCGGAGTTAAGCCTTTATCATTTCAATTTACTGTGTTTTGCAAGGTCAGCAAAGAAAGCCTAATTTGCTTGTATCAATACATCTGACAAATATTTGAATAGTTATTAATTCTAATAATGCACTTGTAGGAGGGTTGAATTTCATTTTCTAAGATAGGTGAAGAAATGGAGTCCTAGGTCATAAAAGAATGGCAAAAAGCAGTATTTGTATGAAATCACATGTGCAATCTTGGTCTAGTTCTCAATTTGAAGACAGTGCGGAGTGTAGTAGGCAAAGTATCACACCACTCAGAACTAGGGAAGCCATGAATGGCTAAACTCCCTCTACAAACCTCCATGCTCCTTGCTAGCTGCCATACTTTAAACCATGTTCTTTAAATAACCCCTGACAAGCATTTGGGGTTCTAGCTCATCCATACACTAACTAGGCTTCTTGATATTTTCTGGACCATATCTTTTGGTATTAAATAATCTCTTGGAGAGAAGGCTCAGCAGTTAAGAGCACTGACTATTCTTCCAGAGGACCTGGGTTCAATTCCCAGCACCCACATGGTAGCTAACAACTATCTCTAACTCCAGTTCCAACGGATCCAACATCCTTTTCCGACCTCCCAGGGCATTGCGTGCACATGGTGCATTTACATACATGCACTCAAAACACTCACACACGTAAAAATAAATAATCTGTCTCTGCTTCAAAGTAATACAAATAGTACTTAAACGAAGTCATCAGTTGATGTCTCTGGGGGAGCGGTCCAAGCCACTTCCTGTTCCCTGTTTCTCTGCATCTTTTTCAGTGTAAGCCAATGATTCCCTTGGATTTAGATGTCAGTAATGTGCCAAGTTCCCTTCGCCATTCCCCTAGGATCTTTCTTCTCAGTCCCTGGCACTCACAACGCCTACGTCCTGACTTAGATGTCTTAAGGATGCCTCAGTCTTAATGACTCCAAAATAGAGCTTCGGTCCACCTCTCTCTGGGTTGTTTTGAACCCCAAAACCATTGCTCTAGGAAGTTTTCCATCACCAGGTATTTATCCACTCATTCAAAATATAGCAAATGCTCACCGTATGCCATGCAATGTTGTAGCTGCTAGAGGTAGGACCGTGAGCCAGATGGAGAAGCCCACTCTCAGTGGTTCTCCACCCTCAACAGCTCACCTGTCCCAGGTCCATCCAGTCTCAGTGATTCACCTGTTTTTGCTCTGACTGTCCAGTGTAAAGCCACGAACCACAGGTGGTTAAGGACTTGAAATGTGGTCAGTCAGAGTTAAGATGTGTTACCAATGTAAAATTCACATCAGATTTTAAAGACTCCATGCAAAAAATGTAAATGCCATCATATTTTTATATTAATTGCTTGTTGAAATTGTGTATTTTGGATATATTATATTGGACTTAATAAAATATGTTATTAAAATTAATTTCACCTCTTTTTCCTTTTTAATATGGCCATTATTATGTTTACATTTATATCAACTTGAATTCCTTTTCTAGTTGGTCAGCACTGCTGTGGATGGACAAAGTAAACAAGCAAATAAATAATTCAATAATGTAATAGCTTAAGTTGCTTCAGTTATGATAAGTTCCCTGAAGGAAATAAACCAAGAGAAATGCAGGAGCACAAGAATTTCAGTTTTTTCTCAATCCCATCCCTATATGAAATTATTTTCACGGTTATTTCTATTTCAACACACATCTTAAGCTTGCATTCTACTGCCTCTCTGTGAAACCATCTGCGTCTCTGGAACATCTTTCCTCATTTCCAACTTCCCGGCAGTTTGACCGTGACCTTCCATCCTTGGCCACTTGAGGGATTTTGCTTTGGATTTCAGTTGAAATGTCCCAGATAGTCTCAGAGAGCTCATTCTTGATTACTCAAAACAGCTCTCAACTAATTAAAAACCCAAATCCAAACCCAGGAATCCCTCCCCTGTTTCTTTGTCTTAATATACTCTCTTTCCTCCTTATCTGTCTTGTTTATCAACAAACCCCTCTAGCGTAATGTTTGAAACATGATAGGCTTTGATAAATACATGTATTGACTGAATGAATGGAAATAGATGCACATTTCAGTACTTATGAGATGAAAGCTGTTCTGAGCCTTCTACATGTGCTGACTCCTAACTTAAATATTAACCATTTCTGCTACTTAGATTTAGTATCTTTTATGGACAAGGAACTAGCTGTTGCTTTAACAGATCATTTCCCCATTGTTTAACGTGTTTCACAATGTGGAATATATAATACTAAGTACAAAAGACAGGCTTTAAACCAAGAACTGACAGCAAAATAAAAACGGCTGAAACACAGCAGATGTCTGTCCTATGCAAAGCTTTGTCAAAAAGAGGTATTTTGTGCACATGAACTTCTCCAGTGTATTTGTTGGGAGTTTAGGTAGTAGTGCTCTGTCCCTCTAGAAGTTGGCGTTCACTTTGGTCCTGACCATGTGGATTAACTGTCTCTATTGAGTTCAGTCCTGACCCAAAGGTCACAGATTTCTCAACAGTCTAGGCTTGGCTCAATCAGTCATATGTGTACATGACTGACATCAGGAGGGATAGTCCACACAAGACAGGGAAGCAATAAAAATTTTCAGTAATCTCAGCGGCAGGTTTTTTTCCTTGCTAAAAACATGCAAAGGTAGGTGGACCATATGTGTTGGACTAGAGGGATTCTCTGGCTTGTACAAGGCTCATGACAGAATGTGAGCATTGAGTAGATTCTGTTATCTACCCAGCCCTAACCTTTCACAAGGATGTGTCTCTTTTAAAACTGTCCATCATCTGGGACAAATGTGGTACTTTCCTGACATGAGACTCAATATCCAGAGGGTCTTTGTTACTCTAGGTAGCACATTGCATGAATAGTGGAGGTCACTCTACCATGGCGGGGGGTCACCCTGTGACTATAATGCACACTCAGCTCCTCATTCAGATCTGGAGGAGTCGATAGGTCAAAGCAGTCCCTCCCACTGCTGTCTAGGAGCCATTCAACCATCAGTAGCATATACACCTTTTCCTCTCAAAGCTACTTTCCTATTTTTTTGTTTTTTGGTCTTTTTGAGACAGGGTCTCCCTGTAGCCCCAGCTGGCTTGGAACTCACTATGTAGACCAGACCAGGCTGGCCTTTGGCCTTGAACTCACAGAGATCCACCTAGTTCTGCCTCCCTAGTGCTGGGATTAAAGGCATGTGCCACCATGCCTGGCTTTCAAAGTTACTTTTTTTTGGACTCTGTAACCAGAATACCTGACAGAAACAAGAGATTTAAAAATTTTCAGTCCATCATGGTAGAGAAGGCATTAACGGTGCTCACGGCAGATAGAGTGTGTGGCAGAGGCTCCTCATATCCTGGCAGCCAGAATCAGGAAGCAGGCTATAACTTTCAAGGGTGGCTGTGCTCCTCCTCCTAAAGGCTCCTGCTGATTCTCAAATGCCTTCAGCTCAAATAAACCTTATGCTGCTGTGCTATATTCAATACCAGAAATAAACTGAAGCCACATTCTGGATCCAAACCCACCCGGATCATCTTGATGTACAGGTATCTGTTTTTCTTGAGTTTGTGTGTGGCTTCCAAACTGACTACTCATTCCACCAAAAACCATAATGCACCTGAGGTATTTTAAATATAACCCTGCCCCAGACTCTCCCACCACACCACCTACACACAAGTCTGGAATGCTCTGGTAGTTTGGGGATGGAGGAGAGGATTGTATGTTGAATCTGAAATGTACCCCACAGACTCTGGTTTGGAGCACTTGTTCCCCAGGTGGCATTTGGCCAAGATATTGTATAAATCTGTTTTCTGTTACTACAACTAAATATCAGAGGCTATATCCTTTATAAAGAAAAGAACTTTATTTTGCCTCGTAGTTCTGAAGGTCTAAGGCTGAGAGACTGCATCTTATGATGGCCTCCTTTCTGATAGAGTCCCAAGTCAGCACAGGGCCTCACATGGCAAGAAACAGAGTGTTTTTACCTTTTATGATGTCTCTATAAAGTCACTATTATTTAACTATGGGGGCTCTACTCTGTTGGCCTCTTTCATCCTTATCTTCTTCCGAAACCCCACCTGTAAACCTTAAATTCAGATTAGGCTTCCATTCTTCCAATACCACACAGCAGGGATTAAATTCCAACACACAAAGCATCATTTGGGGGAGAGATTCCCACCATATCAATGCATAGCAAACAGTACCATATACAAGGA